TATCCAATAGTTTTATTCGAGTTTTGTCGTTTTCTACCACGCTTTTGGCTGTGCGCGGTAAGATAAGAAAAACAGAACAAAAGTTTATCTCATTCAAAAAGTGATCAAACTAGACTACAGTCATCTTCAAAAACGAAACTAAGATTTAAAAAATGCAGACAAAAAGCGGAAAACGAACTGTTTTTTTTTGTTGCATTTTTTGTTGTTCAGAAAACAAGCTTGTTTTAACCAAGAAAGCACTACACGCTGTGAAATTCCATGAAAAAAATTGATTATGATTGAGTTTCTTGTCAGTGTCCGAAAAAAATAAAACAAATTGATTATAATCAATTAAAAATGGATTATAATAATTTTTTTTTGAGGCAACAAAATCCTTTTTTCATCCTTTATAATCGATTTTTTTTCAATTTTTTGGACAGTGACAAGGAAACTAAATTATGATTGTTTTTTTTCCACTCTATTGAGATGCAATTTTCAACGTACATAAAATCTTTTCTACGTTATCAGCTAAAGTTGGTTACATTGGTCACTTGTTGTTTTATTTAACTTTTTTCTGCCTAACTTTGATAGTTTTGTTACTTTTTTTATGTTACTCGAAAATGAATATTGTTCCTTTCAGCAATTTTGTTCAATTCTTAGAAACTTTAGGGGAGAGCCTAACGGAACTTTTTCACAATTTGAGTTTAGGTTTAGAAATGAATTAGGCCCTTTGCAGTGTTCGCATAACTCACTTGATAAATGCAGAATTTTTTTTGTTGTCTGAACCTAACATGGGAATCAATTAAAATTGCAACACTTTAGACTACGAAAATCCATTATAATCGACTTGTTTTCACTTTTCTCAAATGCGGGTAAATGAAACTTCAAAGATATGTAAGATGATGTTTTGTACTGTTAAAAACCAAAACTATTCTAAGCATCAGCTAAAACTAGCATCAACAAGACTGCAAACACTCAGACCAGTTTTTCCAAAAACAAAAACTTGAAAAATCGGAGTCAAGCGAATTAAAACTGAACTACCCCTGTTGTGATACCCCGCTCTGATTCTTGGATAATATCGATTATATTGGATTTTCAATGTCAGTCTCTATAAAATCACAAAAATAATCGATTGTAATTGATTCAAAATGGATTATAACGACAACAACTTTTATGCAAGAAAGTCTCAATATATCGATAATAATTTGACTAATTTTCAAAAAACTTTATCAAAG